TGTGTGTGTGCGAACTAAGACGCAGACACACGTTAGTTACAGGAGCCAGGGACACACTGTTGTGGCGCTTTATGAAGTAATAGTTCTCTTTAACACCAGTGTCCTTCAGGACAAAACATAGCATGCAGCAAAGCAGTTCAACGATCCTGAGAGAGTCACACATTTAATTTGCCCAGTTTGAGTCGCCATCACAGTAAAGAGTCCACAAATGAAAGACTCTGGACCCCAATTCAGTCATTTAGTTCAATTGAAAAGAAAATTCAATTGCATGGGTTTTGTAATCAAATGAACACTCATTTATTGACCGTCTCTGTATCAAATGCAGACTTACATTTACGTAAATACATCAGTTAATTCTCTGGCTTTCATTCATACAGCATAGTACACACTTTAGCTTGATAAAAAACATTTTATGCAACAAAATCATGGGATTAAAAGGAATAATTAAAACCTGATACAAATCAGTTTAAGTGCCTAAAAACTCTTCAAGTGCCTCAAAACTAAAACCGATCTTTGCGCCAAAGATCACTGGAGAATCCGTCGACCTTGCAGATGCTTGAAGAAACCTTCACGTACCTGCTCTTAATCTCCTGCAACTGAGGAGGAAAACACTCATGCATTTAGCAGATGCTTCCAAAGCAACTTACACCAGAACTACAAAAGCAATGCATCAGAGTCATGAGAAGAGAAATGCATACCACATGTTTAAGCGTTCATCATCTCCATGAGATTGGTCTCACCTTGCATTGGTCAGTAACCTTCTCCAGCATCCGTACGACGGCCTGCATCACCGGAGCTAAAGTCTCCTCGCTGTAGCCGGTGTAATGCTGCAGACTCATGCTCTGCCAAACAGTCATGATCAAGACGAAACGTTCACATGGTTTCGCTGCCAGTGGATTACTTTCAATATTTCACAGGCTTCCCTAAACGCCGGTTTAATACTCAAACAGACGTGTGCTTTGCGGAGCGTCTTACACATGCAGATCAACTACTCACACCGAGCACCAATGACAAATACACGGCTGAAGGATGAGGGGAAGAGAAGGCCTCACCCACAGGCCAGAGCCAAGAATCCTCCGAGACGCTGCAAACGCAGCCGCTGCAGTGAGAGACGGAGGAATGTGGACCAGATCATAGTCCAGAGCGGACACTTCCATCAGGAACGACGCCAGCTCACGCTCCCTCGCACCGGCCTGCAGTCGACAGCAGCAGGAGAACTGATCAGTGTGTGGCTTTTCATGCCAAAGAGAGCAGAACAAGAGTGAAGGTTTTGAGGTCTAAATAAATAAATACTATTTTCCTGGAAATCTAAAATTCTAGCCAAAGTAAAA